AGAAATGAGCTAGGAATAAACTTCATCTATCTCACTGCTTTGCTCGGGATTGGTGGCAGCGTCAAAGGAACGGCTTGGACTGGCTTTTGCTCCATGCCCCCGGTGCCCAAATATCCATCAGTTCCCTACCCTAAAGCACCAACAAAAACCATGTGATCTAAGTAAAAAGCAGAGTGCATACTGTGCAAATATAGCTTCAGGAAAAATCTCATCACCTACCCTAGTCTGATTTTTGCAACTCAAGTGCTGCCCTACATACAAATATATAAACTGTGTGTGTGTGTGTGTGTGTGTGTGTGTGTGTGTAGTCCTAAAGCCTTTACTCCCAAGAATAGCCTCCATTAGACATCAACATTTTTAAAGACAATGATAGATTACAAAATTCCTTTGCAATTTTGGAATTTTCAAACAACCTTATCCTGTGATTCTGAAGGTAGCAAATGCTATCTTCCTTCTTACAAACATGTCTTTCTTATGGCCATATCTTAAGAGGTGCACTGGCAAGGAGAACACTTAAAAGTGGCATCTCTAACTGTGCTGAGAATCAACAACAGCCTAGTTTAAAGTTGAGTATCATTGGCTAAGCACACAGTGAGGTCAGTGGGAAATGGTGCAGTCATGGTTCTTGACTAGTGTAGAGAAAATTATTTTAGTGAGTGAGATCATTCTTTGGCTTTTAAAAACATGCTTTTGTGAGTGTTAAGCAGCCCTTCCTTGCCCTGATAGGGCAGTTCCCTTCCATTTGCAAGGTGTGCAGTGCTGTGTCCCCTGGTGTCACAGCTGATGGAGTTGCTGGCTCCTGGGCAATAGAATGGAGGGTATGAGCCCCACTCCTTTCCCTTGTGTTTTATTCTGACTGGATGTTAGGTGCTGAGTATTCCTCAAGTATTATACTTCATTTTCCAATTTGCCAGTTTGGCAACAATTTTTCCTTCTAATAAAAGAAGCTACTCAATTGGAGATTCCAGATATATCTAAGCTGCTTTTATTGGGACAATGGAAAGGTCCAACCTTTTCTTCTAAATACAACCAAGAGTAATATGGCTTAGCCTTTGTATTTCAATAATTTTACAAAGGTTGAATTACGTAAGTGGAAAATTATCTCCTCAAGCATAGAGAGAATTTGTTAGCACAGAACGCAGCTTGGAAAATGCTGATGTAAAATTTCAATCCAAGAGAGAAACCTTTTAAGTTGCTGAAATGTAGTGGAGAGGAAGAAGGAAATTGCTGTTTTACATGATTGACCAAAATGCACTGTAATTATATCAACTTGAAACAGATTCTTTAGAAGAACTGATAACTCTATGATCAGAATAAGCCATGTGTACTGGAACTAAATACTGCATGGACTCTCTCTCCAAAATGTAGACACGCAGTATGCGTGATGGGCAATACAAGACACAGCCGTTCTTGCCTTAGCCCGTTTAATGGGGCCTCCAGCTGCTTTAGCAGTACAGAATGGTGGGGAGGCCTTACTGAGGAATTAGTATTTACCATGCTGGCTCATCCTCTTGCATTGCTTGACAAGACAGTTGCAGACTCTCCTCATGTAATGCTATTCTGATGTTGTCACTCCTGTTTGTAATTAACATAGCGTCACTCACCAGTCAGTTTCTGAATGGAACACTCCTCAAGGATTCCACCGGCTGTCTTTGTTGCCTGTTCTAACGTGGGTGGGTAAAGTTTAATCGCAGATGTTTAGCTCAAGGATATCCCTCCGTTTCCCTCTTCCCTCCAGTGTCTCTACGTCATACTGTTTTCTGTTAGCCACAGTCCACGCATGATATAATTTCCAATCAGAATGATACTAGTGTTCATTCAGTATCCATGAAACTCATTGTCTAACATCTAGTACTCTGAAACACTATTTCTAAACATTGTTCCTTGTGCATAGTAATAACCTATTTGTCTAACTCCTTCACCTAACTATAAGCTTCTAAAGGGCAGAATTACGTCTTCTATGTAATGCCGCGAATAGTGGGGTGCCTAAAACATGGTAGATGTTCAAGAACGCTTATCAACATAATAAAGAGTGGATTGAAAATACCATCTGTCAGATCCTGAAAAAAGAAAGAAATTGCAACAAGTGAGTGAAGTGCCTAGATTTCCAATGGCCAGGTTAGATAAAGCTTAAGCTGAGAGAAGACCCACCGTGCCCGAGCATGCAGACATCACAGATAAAGCTGAGGTGTCTGGCGCTGGCAGGAAGTTTTCCAGGCATTGAGGTGCACTTGCTTCAACCCTCTGCTGACTCTTTCACAGTCCCTGTGAAAGGACCAGACTCACATGACTGTGAAATGGACATGCAGAGTCCTCAGCTGAGTCCTCAGGAAAAAGCCAAATGACCTATACTGGGTTTTGACTTTTATCTCATAAATAGGCTCCTCTAACCCTCACAGATCTCCCCCCACCCTGCGCAACTGGATGGCACCAGCGGACTGCTGTAACGTCCATCCTTAAGGAGATTCAGGAGGTCGCCCTGGTGGGGATTTTTTTCCTTTACTTCTCTTGAAGGGACAGCTCTTTTCTCACTGGCCCCTGTTTCTCTCATTTCCCCACCTGAAATGCCTCCTCCAGGCTCACTCTTTTGTCTCTCTGAGCCTCACAGGCCCAGCTCAAATCCCCTCTCCATCCTGAAATGCTTCCTGAAATCTTTTCTGGTCCTCCGCAGGAAGCAGTAATTGCTTCCTCTGATGAACACCTGGGTGACGTGGTGCTGCTGCCACTTGACATTTCTGGATATTTTTCCTTATATTGTTATTACTTTTCATCATTTATTTATTTATTGAGTTTCTTGAGAAATAATGCCCTGGGTTTTTGTAAAACCTGTAGCAGCTTATTTCATGTGGCAAATATTTTTAAGATACGTGGTAATTTGGAAGAGAAGCATCTAGAAAGGAATTTAACAGAGGTAAGTAAACTTAATAAAAGTTATAGATATTATGAGAAAAATCTATAAACATGTAATGCTTTTATAATATATAAAACTATTTTAAGTTATTTTCTTGAAAGAACAGTTGGAGAAGAATCTTGGACTTCCCAACTAGACATAAGAAAATCTTTCAAACAGCAGTGAATATAGATTACAAATATGCAAATGCAGAAATAAAGATTTTGTCATCTCATCTATATGCAGTAATCCAGGAATGTGAAACATAGTCCACTACCTGACCAGCAAATCGCATTCTTGATTCTAGACAGAACTGCTTACTGAGTCTTCTGGGCCAGGGATGATACGCACACCAAATGCGCCTCTTAATCCAGACTAGTTTAAATGAGTTAGCTGTTCTGGTCCATTATCTTCTGATAAACTCCATGAAATTTAAATTTTAGAGATATAGTTCTTACTTAGAAACTAACCTTCTAAAATTGACCATGCTAATAGAGCTATAAGCTTAATAAGCGAACCATTATGAAAATGAATGTCTATGACATTTTAAACTTCAACAATGGTAGCAGGTCTAGAGCCGTGGAATATTACTTGCTGAGTCGAAGAGGATCAAGAGGGGCTCATATTGAATGCATCATTTTTTAAAAACTTGTTTATTAAAAAAAGAGATTACTGAGCAAGTACATCCCTTTCATTACATTTTTGTTGCCACCATTCATATTCTGACATTATATTCACCTAGACTGTTGTATTGCTTTCACATTCTGCCCTTTATACTTTTATTCTAATCCATCCAATCAGCAGTAGATATTTTTAGGGGATTTCTATGTGCCAGGTACTCTGCTAGAAAACTTACCTCCCTCATTTCAGAGTGGCCAGTCTCCTAAACAATCACATCCAACAACTGTCCTCCACCTTATAAAATCAAATGTAAGCCAGCCTCCCTTTCCAATCTTATTATGTACTTGTTTCATTCATATGCCCAACTGCTTCAGAGTAAATTATTCACTATTTTCTGTGATGTATGTGTCAGTTTTCAGCATAATTCCCTGGGGTCTGGAACTACAAAATAAATCACTCTTAGAGGCTGTGTTCCTATCACAAATCCAACAATCGGAGAAAAGCATCTCAAAGTAGACAATATGGGAGATGCTTTTGAAAACGCTTTTTAAAAATGCTCGGTAAAATTGTGTAGGAAAGTACAGAAGGGGTAAGGGCCTTAATTCAGAATTGGGAAGAGGAAGTTAAGCACAAGGAGTAGGCAGACTAAAGGAACCCAAAAACAGAGACCAGCTGGGGTGTCAGGAAATGAAAACACCTGTCGTAAATCTCTTTAGAAACAAACCGAAGGTAGAATACAAAAGGAAGAGGTTAAGACCCTCATACTGAAAATTTCCATATTTTGAAGGTTAGACTTCTGAGATCCATGACCATACACACACAAAAAAAGAAAAAACAATTTAGCATTCTACAATGGGAAACACTTATGTTGAGCGCCAACTGTATGTAGAGCATTGTACTTCTCTAAAGATCCAGGCAGCCTGAACTACCCACAGTGACCCGTTCCACTCCATCTGAAGTAGTGAGAGGAGGATACATCACAGCACAGCACCAATTCCTTCTCTAAGCACAGGCCAGAGTGAATGCCAAATTCACAGGCAGGATCAAAGTTAGGCCACATTAGCTGCTCTGTAGTTTCAACCTTTGTATTAAATTACCATCAAGGAGCACTAATTAAGATAAGAAATAGAGCCTTCTTTTATATGCATCTTCAGGTTTCTGAATTATACATTAACACAATCTATGACATCTGTGTATGCTTTTCACAAAAGCAAAAAGCATAAATGCCTCAGGGTGCATCTGTCTGGCTGAGAAACAGATGGAAAACAAACTCTTTCTATAGTTTCTATTAAAGTTCAGAGAAATACAATTTTAAAGGTTACAAAAATAAGATAAAAGCTATATAAAAATAAATCAAAAAAATCTATACCTAAAAAGAGTACTTTGGATTAATCTGTAAAAGCTGAGTTTCCTAAGACTTTGAAAAATGAGAAAAGCTATTTGACAAAATCCTTAACTTGGATTTCTTTTTGTTTGATTTTGTTTTTAGGTTCCAGATTCAGAGAAGTTCAACTGATCCAAACAGTTATAAAAGCTTAGGAGACAGCTTTCAAACAATTTTCCGAAGAGAAGGGTATGTATGGTTCTCCATATATAGATTCTATGTTGATATAGGTATTTAAACGTATTATTACATAACACATCTTCTCATTTCGAATGGGATATTTTCTTAGTCTCATTAGGGAAAAATGTTTAAAAGGGTGCTTTCCTACTTTCTTATGTTGTTCTTGATAATATGATCAAAAATTAATACATATATAATAGAAACTACCATTAAAAGGATATTAATAATCAGTTTAATGACTAGAGGACAATTTCTAATTTGTGCCATGAAGGCTTTTTAGAGTTCTCAATAACTGGTACTATGTAAACATAACAGTTCTTTACTTTGATTCTTGATACTGTTGCCCAAATGCATTCCTTGTTTGCATTGTGGTTTATGAATATTCAGTCAAGACTGATCTATGTCAGAAATTGATGTGTCAAATTCATCATTCAATTAGATGAACAAATAAGTAGAATATTTTGGTTTTATAAGCTAAAATTGTCTCTGATGCATAGATTCAGTTGAAGACTTTATCCAGTATAATCTTCCAATGGAGATTAGATTTGCTTCTTACTTGAAGTTGTTTTCATAAGAGAATTGGTTGAAAATAATTACACAAAAATGATGAGTAATAATAATAACTAGTAAATATATTCAGCTTCACTATGTACTAGGAATTCTCCTTTTAACTCTGTGAGGTAAGTTCTACTGGGCTCCATTCCAGGTGGACAGGTGAAGAAACCAAGGCTCAGGGAAGTGAGTGATTTTCACACAGCTGGTGTAAGCGGCACATCTGGGACTCAGCTCCCGGTCTGCTGGGCCCCAAAGCCCACGCTCCTGCCGGCTGCAGCTCACTGCACCTCTGGGCAGATCGGACTGTGGATACTATTCTGCTAACCTCTTTGTTTTATTTAAATATACAGATTGTGGACATCTTTACATTACAAAAGCATATGTACCTGCTGCACTTTATTAAATTCATCCTTTTTGTGGATCGTTAGGTTGTTTTCAGACTTTTGCTATTTTAAACAGCAGTGCCGTAAATATTCTTATACTAGTTTTGCATATTTGTGTATATACATATATATTTCTATGAAATGAAGTTTACAGGATTAGGTGTTACCAAATTATCTTCCAAAAAGTATGTAATGATGTTATACCCTTAGTATTTGAGAATTCTCCTTTTTTACAACCTCTCAAACACTGGGCATTATCAGCCGTTATTTGGTGTATGTCACTCATATGCATGTCTTGTTTACAATCTACTAGGTGAAAAAATAAAACCACCTTAATAGTGTTCCTGCAGCCAAACGCAGGTCCCGCTGCCTGCAGCTACAAAAGACAATACTTGAGAGGCAGGTGCTGATGTAAAGGAAAGTGGTTTATTCAGGTGCCAACACTTGGAAGGTAGGAGACTCATGTCTCAAAGCCCATCCTCATATCTCAGTGGAGTCCGAGGTTTTTATAAGGAGGGAGAGAGGTACAGAACAAAGAGATCAGGGGAGGGGGCAGAAAAGTGCAGACCAACACAGTCCATTCTGTTAAAGCAAGTGATGGCCCGGCATGCATCATTCTGGTTTAGTCATCCTGGCTTCACGTCATCCTGACTTTCCTTCATCGGGGCTCCACAGTTGAAGGTCAGCAAACCTCCCAGAGCTGGGGGATGCCTGAACGTTGGAGTTTGTATCTTTTGGAGTTAGCTCCTAGGATTCTTATACAAACATGCTGTTTATCTACAAGCTACTAGTCAGAGTCAACACTTACAGAAACAATGTCAAAAGCATGGTGGAGCGGGTTATAATTTTCCACCATTCCGATTTTCTGCTGTTACATTCCTTTGATGTGACTGGAATTGAACATACTTTTATATCATAAAGTATCATTTCTTCTATGAATTGCTTATTTGTGTCCTTTGCGTATTTTTTCTTAGGTTAGTTTTTTTTTATTGATTTGTAGGAGTTTAGTATATTTTTTTTAATTAATTTATTTACTTTTTAAATACATTTGTCTCTGCCTTCCCCCCACCTCTTTCCCTTGCCCCCTCCCACCTTCCCTCCCTCAGCTCTTCCCCTTTGGTTTTGTCCATGAGTCCTTGCTATATGTTCCTTGACTTTCCCCTTCCCTTCCCTTTCCCTGCCCCCCTCCTTCCCTCTTGTCTCTGTTGATTTCTTTTCCTTTCAGTGTTGCTGGTCATATTTTCCTTGCTTCTTTGCGTTGTTGGTTAGGTTCCGCTTATAGGTGAGATCATATGGTATTTGTCTTTCGCCCCCTGGCTTATTTCGCTTAGCATGATGCTCTCCAGTTCCATCCATGCTGTCGCAAAGTTTAGTACTTCTTTTTTCTTTCTGCTGCGTAGTATTCCATTGTGTATATGTACCATTATTTTTTGATCCAGTCATCTACTGATGGGCATTTAGGTTGCTTCCAACACTTGGCTATTGTAAATTGTGCTGCTATGAACATTGGGGTGCATAGGTTCTTTTGTATTGGCGTTTTGGAGTTTAGTATATTATCATAAGCACTAATCTTTTGACTATTACATAGAATGCAAATATTTTTCCTAGCTCGTCATTTATCTTACAACTATAGTGTCTTGCACCTTTCAGAAGTTTGTATTTTTTGAAGATTGTGATTTTGTGATTATATGTGTGTTTTCCTTTCTGATATCTGATCTTGATGTGACATTTAAAAAGAAGAACATCCCCTAATCCCAAGATTATAAACATTCTCTTCTGGTACTTTTTACATTTAAATCTTTAATCCATATAAGAATTTTTTCCCATGTGCAATATGATAGATAGGAATTAAATTTCATTTTCAAATGGTTAGTCAAATAGCCAAGCACCACTTGTTGAAAAATTCATCCTTTACATTGAATGAAAATGCTAGCTTTTTCACATATTAAGCTTTCACATATGCCACCTAATTTTTCTATTTTGTTTCTCCATTTCCTGTTCTGTCTCATTAATTGATCTGTCTCTATGCCAGTATCATACTGTTTTTATTATTTTATCTTTAGAGTATTTTGAGAATATGCAAACATACCATGGTATGCAGGGCCCTTCTAATATGGCCGTCCCTTCTTCTCCAGGCTCATTCCTCATACACAAACCTGATCCAGGAACAGCAGGCCTCTCAGCCCTGTGGTCACTCACACTCTGGTGGCTTTGCCTGCTATTCTCTATTCCAGGAGGACCAGCCTTCTAATCTGCACAAGAAACTACTGCTGTTCGTTCCAGGGTACCTTCAAGTTTCACCCTCTCTGACCATCTTTTCTCTACCACATGCTTTCTTTATGAGTCTTTCTTTCTATATACACATATGCTATATAAAATATAGTATGCATCACCCTGATTTATTGTGCTCATTTTCTGTCTCCCTTCCCCCACCCCAAGAATCTATTTCCCTAAGGGCCCTGTCTCATTTAGCTCTGTACTCCTGAGGTCTGTATTTGGAACTGACTAAAGATACTCAGTAACTGCATACTGAACAGATAGATGAATGCATATCATCACAGCAGCATCATAATGATGTAAAATGAAACAGAAATTATAATTCTTGCTATAGACCACCCCCTCTGAAGCTATGATAATCATCTTGACACCTGATTAAATATTTTGAGGTCACCTAGTGACATAGGATTAGCAAGTTCTTGCTGTTACACTGGTGATGTGATGCCTAAGTGCCATACATTGACAGTGTACCTGTTTTATAACAAGTAGGATCAAAGCCATGTTCATTTTACTCAAAATATATGGGAAAAAGTCATAGTGTATTATGTAATCTATAAGCATGTCCCTTTGCATTAAAACAGTAGTGTCAGCATTGCCAAGTCCTGTAAGCTGTAACAGATATCTCTGAATTGGACGTGGGAGTTTCTTAGCCAGGCTCTTCATTTCATGTGTGTTTTAGGAGGAATTTGATGTTTCTGCTTTGATATCAAGTAATATAACAAACATACAGTATGTGTGGTCCTTGCATAGTAAAATTGGCCTTTTCCTAGATTGTACATATAATTGCTTCTAGAGCAAATTGACATTCTTTCTTTACGGCCTTTAGATCTGGACATGCTGTTAGCCAAAGGCCAGAATGCTCCACTCTTAGAGATGGAAATATTTGTAAAGGAAAAAAGCTGCCCATTACTTTTGATATAGAGTAAGAGCATTTCATTGCCTTTGGTTAAAAAAGAAAAGAAAGATTTTTAACATATACTTTATTGAATTGTTTTTTTCCTAGTAAAAGTGATTCTTTCTGATTTTCTTATTTAGCTTTTGAAGTACACTCTGCTTTCCAAGATGTTCTCACTCAGGTCCAGAGAGGTCAGTTTGGTCTGTGCTCTGCAAGGAGGATAGTGCCAGTCAACTTGACTATTACCATATTAGGAGAATTCATATCTCCTGGCTTTTCCTATCTCCCCCAAGTCAAAGGTTTTGAAAGCTAGTCCTTTTCTGTTGTTCGAAAACATTAAACTCTGATAAGACACTTAGAATCTGCACAGATATCCCATTTCCACTGTGTAACAAAGCGAAGTGGTGGTTCTTACAGATGCAATTTCCCACCTCCCTGTGCAAAATTCACATGTTTCCCAGAAACAGTAGCTCAATCACCTGGGTCCAAAACCTTTTACTGTTTCTAAAATTGTTTGTCTTTGTAATTTCATTAAAGACATAGTTTTTCAACCCAGCTTCACAGAAGTGAAATTAATTTAAGTAAAAAATAAATACCTTTCAAATTCTGAGTAAGGATTTCTATAATATGAAATCATCATATTTAATTAACTTTTATCAAAGAGGCCATTACTGTTTTCTCTAAAAAAAAAGAAAGAACTCAGAGGAAAGGAATTTGTCACTGTTGAGAGCACTTCACTGTATCCATTATTCTTTTTTTTTTTTTTAAGTTTATTGACTTTAAAGAGAGGGGAAGGGAGAAAGAGAGAGAGGGAGAGAAACATCAGTTGGTTGCCTACCATACACACCCCAACCAGGGATCAAACCCACAACATTTTGGCTTATAAGACCACATTCCAA